AGAAAAGAAAACCACCATCATGGGGTGGGAATGTAGATACAACAGGAGAAAGGGCTTTGACCCCTAATGACAGGCAAGGTGTGGTCTTTGTCCTGGTCTCCTGGTCAGGTGACTTGGAGAGTGCCCTGTGCTGGGAGAACTGAGCAGACCGCAACTCCACAGACGTGCCTTGGCATTACCCCACCCCCAGCAACCTCGACGGCGTGCTTTGGTAATTGCTCCCTAAGTCAGAAGCTCACACAGAAGCTCAGGAGCTCAAGGTGCTTATTAGCTAAGTGGTTAATAAGGTCTCATTAGGGACTTGCATTTAAAACCCTAGAAAGTAGTCTCAATCTGCTAACTCAGGGGAGGCAATAATTGTGCGTGGGTCTCATGGCATCACTGAGCCCTTTCTGGGAGGGCACCACGGAGCCAGTTCACACACTGGGCCGGTGGAGACAGTCATATGCAGGCAGAGTGGGTGGACAGGCAAGTCTGATCTCCTGTGCCCTCCTTCCCCTCTGTATTTTTTTTTTAAAGATTTATTTACTTATGCATACAAAAACTGGGATGTGAGCCAGAGGTGCAGGGGTGGGGGATGAGAGGATTCACCAGAGACAGAGTGGGAAGCAAAGCAGGCAGATTGAAATACACTGCTGAGAGGAGCAGCAGGTGGGTCAGGGGAGGTCTGCTGCACCATGTGGGTCACCTCCCTGACCCACCTTGGGATCAAACTCTCGCTACAGTGGCTGACAGAAGCTTGATAGGACTGTGGCTTTAACCCCTGTGCCACCAGGGAGGCCCCTTCCTCTCTGTATTTTGATATAAACTCAGCAAGTATTTGATATTCTACAGCCTTTATCTGAGGAGGCTGTGATGGGGCCGCAGGGGTTGGGCCCCCGCAGGCAAACAATGGCTATTGTCCTGATCCACTGTACCTGAGCCTTTCTTAGAAGCAGGAGTCAAGTTTCTTGGCATTCATGAAACGGATCCTAAAACTGGCAGGGTGTGTTTCAAAGCAGAATCCTAACCTCTCCCAGGCTGGGAGAAGTGGGCTGGAATGGGGTGACTACCTGATCGAGAAGCTTAGGCTCCTCGAGGAGCCTAAGGAGGTGGTTGGCTTTGTCAAGTCAGAGAAGGTCCCATCTGTCTGAGTCATGGGGTCACAACCCCCCCCCAAACCCCACTAGGTCCGGCCACATTCTCCACGGGCCCCAGGAGCCTCACCTGCAGTCCAGAGACTGTTCCCAAGTTCTGTTCGGGTTGCAGCTTCCTGGAATCAGACAGGAAGCCAGGGTCCCCACTCTCCACAGCCGGCTAGCCACCCCTTTCCTTCCCTGCTTTATCCCCTCTTAGTGCCTGTGCCTTTGCGGGGTTCTGATGCACTGGCCTCAGCTACCCAAAGCGGGGGAGCTGTAAGAGCCGCTGCCAGCTGCTTGGCTGTCCCTGAACTTCTGTTGCACATTCGAGGTCTTCACACGGGGTTAGATGTGGGCTCCCAGGTTCAGACATGGGTGTAGGCTGAAGGTGTGGCAGCCGCCAGCCCTTGTAGAAGTCTCTGTTACTTGTCCCAGTGGCCGTAACCTGCATGGAGTCCCTTCAACCCTAAATCACTGACTTTTTCAGCCCCACCATAAAGTGGACTCGGAGGCCCCCTCCCTCCAGGGTTTTGGACTCAGGAACTGTGTTGACAGAACCTTATAGTGTGCATGTTTGCTTCCCTGAAGAGGAGACTGCAGCCTTCCTGGGGTGTCTTTCGGAGCTGGCAGGGAAGAGGGTGCATCTTGGGGTCTGTGTGTGCAACGAACTTGTATTGTACCATGTCTGTCTGGGCTGTGCACTGCCACCCTTCCCTAGCTCCTTGATTTGAGGGCAGGGACGCAGGCATTCAGCGGTAGGCACAGGCCATCATGCCCTCCCATCAGGCAGTGATCCCTGAGGCTCACATGTACTGCTGCCCAGCTCTGTGCTCCAGGCTCTCAGGGCATGGCCTCCTGCAGCTGCCGCCCTATGAGGGTGCTCAGGTAGGCTGCCTTTCTTGCCATCCCAGTTACCACTTAGGCTGACAAGGTGCCTGTGATCCCTGCCTGGAGGCACTCAGGTCAGACCTGGCCATTGCCCCCTAGGGACACAGTTGCTGCAGGATAGGCTGGAGCCTGCTGAATTCAAAGGAAAGCGGGAGGGAGGAGTCCATTTCATCTTAGCCTCGCCCTGCTAAGTGCCGGCACTTATACACACATTCTCGTGCTCAGTTCTTAGCACAAATCCACAGGGCAAGCACTATTACCCTCATTTTCCTGATTGAGGTAACTGAATTCAGAGATTAGGAGTTTCATACTGGGTCTCAGAAGGGGTTAGTAGCAGAGTGGGGTCCTAAGCCTGTCTGTGGGTCTGTGGGGAGCAGCAGCTTAGGGCCCTCCAGGGGGTGGGGCTCCAGAGAACAGCCAGTGTGGAAGGCGGTGGTATTCCCTGCTCTGTCTCCTTTGCTGCGTTTTCTGGCTTTCGGTCTTGGAGAAGCTACGGTAACACTGACTGGCCTGGTGGTGGCTACCAGGCTCGCAGCCTGGGTTCCCTAACTCCTGATCAGAGATGCCTGTGGAGGTGCGGGGTGGAGTCAGGAGACTCCCAGAAGCAGCCTGATCTTGCATTTACTGACTAGGCAACTTGGATAGATCCCTTCCTCTCTCTGGGGTTCATTTACCTGTCCGGTGACAAGAGAAACCCTAGGAGATCTTGACGGCCTGGTACCTGGGATGGATGCCATCTCTGTCCACCCAGGTCCATCCCCCATTTCCTGTTCCGCCCTCCAGTGTGCCAGCTGGTTCTGCCTCTCCCAGCATGTGGACGCTGTTCGCCTGCAGATGAGGAGCCTTCTCACCCATCCCGCCTGTTGCTGATTCCTTCTCAGTGCTAACTGGCCTCTCCCTTTGTCTCTGTCTTTTCCACCTCTGCTCTTGGGTAGCTGACGGTAGGGAAAGTGTCCAGCGGAATAGGGGCTGCAGCTGAAGTCCTGGTCAATCTGTACATGAATGATCACAGACCTAAGGCCCAGGCCACCTCTCCGGACCTGGTAAGCTTGCACACCTCTCAGCCTCCACCTGCAGACACTGGCTCTGGCCTCACAGGGTGGGTCTACAGGGGTGTGCAGAGGACACAGTGGCCTGCTCAAGGCTCCTATCCTCATGGGGACATGCAAGTGGGGTGATCACATTCAGGAGCCTGCAGGCCTTTCCCTAAAGCACCCCCCTCACCCCCTGTGGGTCTTTGCACAAGGCAGAGCTGTCTGGAGCTCTGGAGAACTCAGAGAGAAGGCCACTCGAGGCTATCCACATAGTTAGACATCCCTAGGGTCCACCCTGTGTAGCCCTTTGCATTGGATTGAGGATTCTAGTCAGGGAGAAAACATCCCTTTCCTTTGAGGCCTCCCCTTTTCCAAACTAGGCCACTCGCCATCATCCCTGATGATGTGAGCTGATAACTTTTTGGTTTCCTTCTGGCACATTCCCCTGGAGTCACCCGGATTTGGCCTTGCCCTGCCCTTCACCATTCCTGCTTCTTTTAGGAAGTTGACTGGCAGCCTGTTGGGCTTCTTGGCTTCTTGCATTTTTCTGAACAGTTTTGATGCCACAAGCTTTCCTTGTCTGCTCTGCATCACTGTAGGGGCCAAGTGATATAAAAATCTTCCAGTGACTTCACTCTGTGTCCTGGGACAGGTCAGAAGAGACCGACCCTGGGCACTTCATCAGACCGGGAGACATCACTCCCTTCCTGAGGCCAGTGGGGGTGAGGGGGCATGCAGCCCCCTCCCCATCATCTTGTTGTCAGTGCCCCTGCCTCAGAGTACCAACAGGAGCAGTCCCCCCAGGCTGGGGTCTGTCCAAGTGTTCGCCGCCTTCACTCTGCTTTGGGGCCTGCGGTGACACGGCAGCAAGCTGGAGCCCACATTCTCCCATGAATGTCTAGAAGCCTAGGCCTGGCATTTGAAAATGGCATGTAAGCCCTAACAGGTTGCCTTTGTCTCCTGATGCCCTGTGCCCCCAGGATTCCATGCGAAAGACGTTTCCCATAAACCTGGGAGGCAGCGACACCTGTTTCTTCTGCAAGAAGCGCGTGTACGTGATGGAGCGGCTGAGCGCAGAAGGCCACTTCTTCCACCGAGAGTGTTTCCGCTGCAGCCTCTGCGCCACCTCCTTGCGCCTGGCGGCCTACGCCTTTGATGGCGATGAAGGTAACCCCCAGGGGCCAGTGTGGGCTCCTCCCTCTGGAGGCTCTGGGAGGCCCAGCACTTCCCAGGGAGAACAGCATCATCAGAAGAACTGCTCAGGGGCAGGGGGCCCAGCTAGAGGGAGGTGGCCATGGTGGGCAGCATTTCCTGAGGAAAGGAGAGCTGTCAGCTCCTGGCTGTGCCCTGGAGGGCATCTACTATGTGCCAAGTACGTGATGTACATTTTCTCATGCAGCTTCTCTACCAGCTGTTGCCGCTGTCATTGAGGAAGTCAACCTGGTAACCTATTTAACGTGCTGACCCCACACTTGGCGATAGAGGCAATAAATGATGTCATGTTAACATGAGCACTTATTAGGCACATGCTATGAAACTAGCCATAGCAGTAGCATGCCTGCGGCTAAGTGGCCTGCAGGAGATCATGGAAGAAGGGGTTGCACTGCCTGGAAGGAGTGATCACTCTCCATGTTTCAGCACTTCATTTGCACTGTCGTATGTAAGGGGAGCAGTGCAGCATGTACCACAGAGTCTCAAATTAAGCTGCCTGGGTTCGAATTCAAACTGTACCCCTTACTAGTGAATAACCTTGGGCCCATCACCTAGCCTCTTTGTCCCTCAGTTTCCTCACCTGTAAAATGAAGCTACTACTGGTACTTAGCTCATAAAGTTGTTGAGAGGAGCAGTGAAACGCTTCAAGGGAAACAGTTAGGATAATGCCGAACACACTGAGCCCCAGCAGAGTTGTCACTATTTTATCATATCACTGTCACCGTTGTCCTGTTGAAACTGAGCAAAGAAGGCAGCCAGTAGTCCTGGACAGGGGCCAGTGACATGCAGGCCTCAACCGAGTCTTTTCCTCCCCATCACTGCCAACATCTATTCTGAGTGTTCTACTCCCAGGGTTCTCAGAGAGCAAGAGGACATAGAAACAGTGCTGGCATTCACAGCTGTCCATTCTGCTGCCTGGCGACTGGCCTTGTGAGGAGGCGTGGCTTACGCTTGCTGTGGGGATTAGCTGAAGGTTTCAGCCCCGTCCTGGGGTCCCTCTACCCCCAACCCCCACCATTGTGGTAGCCTATCTCTGAAGTAGCAAAGGGTCTCCTGCCTCATCTCATTACCGCTTCCTTTAAGACAGGTGACATAAACCATTTCCCAAGTGTGAGGCATCCTGGACTTTTTTCCATCATTGGCATGTCACCAGTAGTGACCTAAACACTGTCAGGCACTTGGCTTATCTCTGCTGCGTCTCTGGTTTTCAGGACAAAAATCAAATGTGTGCGTGTGTGTGTCTTTCCTTGACAGGCAAGTTTTACTGCAAGCCTCATTTCATTCACTGTAAGACCAGTAGTAAGCAGCGGAAGAGACGGGCAGAGCTAAAGCAACAAAGAGAGGTACGTTTTGTCTAAAATGCAGGTGCAGCGGGAAGGCCTTCCCTGGGCTTTCAACGGTTCTCCAAGGTTTCTGGGTCTGGGGGGATGGAGTCCCACCTGTCTGCTTCCCGGTGTGGAGCGCTCCTTTGCCTTAGCCTGTTTAGCGTCCTCTGGAGCATGTCCTGTTCTCGGTGCATGGCTGCACTGGCTCCGATGAGAGCCCAGAAGAGCGTTCCCACGTGCCCGGATGGGATAGCGTGCTCAGGCGCGAAGATACCAGGGGCCCACATGCTCACCAGGCACTGTTGGTAGGGGCCCCTGAAATGTGGACCCCTGTGTTATTTCCACGCCCCGTTCCCAGCCGCCTGGATGTCTGCAAAGACTGGTCTTGTGGATTTAGGAGGTGTCGGATAGCTCTCCCTCTGGCAGCTTTCATCAGATCCCTTCTCTCTAGCTTAATTAATCACCCGCCACTCACAAAGACCATCAACTTAAGGCTTTTCTCTGATAACACAATGTAATATGAGTACAGTACAGAAAAATAGGGAAATGAAAGTGATAAAGAAGGAAAGTTAAGCCCACCCATCCTCACTCCATCCTGAGGAAACCACAATTAACATTTTATGAATTTTGTGGATTCCCTAACAGGAGTTTCTACGTGACTATTTTAACTCAGTTGGAATCCCATCCCACGATCATATACTTATTTTCAGTAGGAGTTTGTTTCCATGATGTTATAATTTTTTTCAGAGCATAGCTTCTGACACCTATAAAGATGGTTGATAACTTGAGCCCCCACTTGTCGGACCTTTCAGTTTTATACTTCTATCTTATAAATATTTTTATAGTGCCTATCTTTGTATGCCTGTCTTTATCCACATTTCAAATTATGTACTTACACGCTAGCAGTAGAAACAAGATTGCTGAATAGAAGGACACGTATGTTTTTGAGGCTCACAAAACCAGTGCTCAGTTTGTCCCCCCGGGAAAGTCATATCCATAGTCAGCTCCCCTTCGGCAGTGCTAAGAGATCATTTGGGGGGGGCTATTGCAGAATGCAGCATCTGTCAAGTCAGGTATTTATCAGCTGTCTGCATCAGCAGAGGAGTCTTCCGTGTGAACCATGGACTGAGTGTCATCTCTTTGATCTGTTCCTCAGGAGGGGGGACCGTGGAAAGAGCAAGAGGCCCCTCGACGCGACACGCCCAAGGAAAGTTCTTGCGCCGTGGCCGCCATCGGCACACCTGAAGGCAGCCCCCCAGGTATCACTTCCTTCCTTTGGAAGGCACTCTGCTGGCCTCTCAGGCTGCCCCGGAGCCTGCTTAACTGGATTCAGGGACTCCTGCGTGCCACTGGTCGCCATATCAGGGACAATGCTCACAACTACTGCTACACATACGAGCTTCTGAGCCTCGGCCTGCCCCTCCTCTGGGCGCTCTCCGAGGTCCTGGCCTCCATGTACCAGGAGTCGGAGGAGTCCCTGGAGCGCATCCGTGTCTGGGTGCTGCAGTACCTCCCGGTCAAGCCCCACTGAAGTGAGATTGTCCCAAAGTGCCGTAACATTTCCCAACTAGAGGTCTTAGTTAGTGAAGGCGCTGGCCAGGACACCCGGCGTCCTTTACCCAAATAGCTCAAAACCAAAGAGTCCAGGCTGGCCACCAGCCCTGGCCTTGTCAGGACCATGTCTGCGCTCAGTGCTGGGCCAGCAGACCATGAAGGATTTTTAAAAATAGTTTTCTACCTTTTTTATACCAAAGTGAGCCATATTTTGGGTTTACATTTCAATTTTTTATAAGTCAAGAAAGGATTTTTTTTCCCCAGTGAGTGTCTGTCAGTTTTTCTAAGCATGGGTTTGATGTGTTTAAATGGCATTACAAACCCTCCACACTATCGCCATTTATAACAGCTCCCGCTGCACTGTGTTTGATCTGGGCTGTCGTACAAACGAACGTGATCGTGCCCTTTCCGGGCCAGTGCCTTTCCATTCCCATTTTTGTACTCAGATGCTACTTGACCATTGGTGGCAATTTTTTGCAGTATGTCATTGTAGAACAGAGCAGAGCAGAGGAAAATTAAACCTACCCAAGCACATGACAGTGCATATAGTTGGCTGTTATCTTTGCTCCCTTGTTTTGAAATCAAATAGTAGCTCAAACATTTTGAGTCTCATATCCAATCACAGCCGAACAATAGAACCATGGGCTTTCAATCAGACGGCTGCAAATGTGCATTTCTCTTCCCACTAATGAGTGCCCAGCACAAGCACCCTGGCCCCAGATGACAGAGCGCTCCATCAATCTGATGCAAGGCTGAAGAGGAGCTAAGTTAGTAGGTGGTGTGGGCCAGAGCCCATCCCAGTCGGGCTTCCAGCCAGGCTATGGTCTGAGTCGAGGCCACAGTAGGGCTGTAATGGTCAGACTGTGGGAAGAATCTGCCCTCTCACTTCTGTCTTTTGAGTCTGAGGGTGTTTGTTATCACCTCAGGGTAAGAGATCTGGGAAACGTGGTCTGCCAATGAGTACTGCTTGCAGGCCTCCTGGCTGCTTGGCCACTCAGCAGCCATGCATATTTGGCCAAAACAGTCAGAAACAATTTATGTTCTCACTGTCCTAGCAAAGGAATGTGTCTGACCTCCAGAGGGAAACTCCCCTATGTCTTGCCTGGCAAGGGAAGCTGGGAGTTGAAGCTGTTTGTTGACTGATGCAAAATAAATATATACTAGTAAGGGCAAAACCAGGTAGGCACTGAGCCACCTGCATTCTTCACTCTCAGTGTCTGGAGGAAGATCAGCTTGCCCTCCACGTTGCCTGGACATGCATGGCTACTGGGTCTGGTTGAGTAGCAGAGAGGCTGATGGAGCAGCTCTCGACCCTGCTCAGTCTACCCAGAGCTGAGGGCTGGAGTCAGCTTTGTGTAATGGCAATCTCCTCCACTAAGGAAGGAGGTTGCTGTGGGTTAGCAGCCCCAGCTCTTGAGACCTTAGAGATGACACATATCTAAAGGGCAGAAAGAAGAGGGGAGGCCTCTCTCCAAACACTTCCCGAAAGACTTGGGTTAAAAAGAGACATGGCTGAGGCCCAGCCCTGAGAACTGGTGCCTCCGGCCTTGTGGTAGTCTCCTCTGTCCAAGGACTTACCTGTGTTTTCCCCATTTTTGGCTGGGATTTTCATGTTCAGCATGGTGGGAGGAATCCTCTGTTCTCTTTATGTTCGATTCTAGAAAGTAAGTCCTCAAGGACATGAAGTGAACACAGCACAGGGTATTATTGTCATTGTCACCAGCTCAGGGTGGGCTCAGAGGCTTTATGGAATGCTCCAAGAAACCAGGGTGAGCCCTCTGAGTTGTCATTTATGGTTGCAAGGAGGCTGGTTTGAATTACTCTTAATGAGACAGGGCGTGCCTGTCAGAAATCTGAACTGATTGTATATTCTGGGGCCTTGAACCTTCCTGGTGGGCTGCACCAAAACACACAAATGGATCTCCGAGAATGTCTCCGAGCCTCCACACATAACCCAAAATAATATGAGACATGAGAGTCAAATCAATCGGGTCTGAGAGAATGTGTGGGGTGTTGGCATATGCAAATGGCCTGGGGCTCTCTCTTATACCTAAGCAGCTGATCTACCAGAAAGGTTCACTTGTCCTCCTCAGTCTGCAGTGACTTGTGTGGGGAAGTTTCCCTTTATCAAATGTTTGCCTTATTTTCAACAACCCCTCCCACCTTCTCCAGTTGTCAGTTGTTTTCCTTTCCCCCCCAAACTAAATTCTCTTTTCGATCTCTCTCTTTCCAACCTTGCGCCGTGGCCGCCAGTTCATTTCAGTCTTCCAGTGCTACACCCACTTCTTGGCTGACACACTTCTGCTCTGAGGTGACTGGTTCTCTTGCCAATTTTCAGAGTGGTACTAACCCCTAAGCTGCTTCCTGCCTGGTCTGTTCTGTCCCACTGGGGTAATGGTTATGCTGTGAATGTCTTGCATACTAATGGACTGTTTCGGTGGCATGGCTGGGTGGCAGTGCAGAGTGGCATTCCGCTCAGGAGCCGTAGCTGATTCTGCACGCCCTGCCTGCCCCTGCTCCCTGTGGCCTGCGTCATGCATGCTTTTACCCGTCGCACTTGCATCCACCTACCCTCCTGGGAGGGTTAGCAATGATAATGAGACAGTGTCATAGAAAGGGCTCTGTCACCTTTGAAAACAATTCTTTTATCTAGCAACTTCTGAACATCACATGCATATGAGTGTCTGCTTAAGTTGGTTCAAATATAAAGCTTATCAGTTGATCATAAGGATCTTAAAATAATGCTCCCAGACTGCATCCCAAGCCTGGCCTGCGCTCTGTATTTGAACACATAAGCACAGTTTTTCTAGCAAATCCTTTCTCTGCCTCAGCCTACACGAGAGACCCAAGGGTTTCACTGTGGCTTTTCTTAGCTCTCTTGGCTCCTAAAGCTCCAGATGATGCTCAACTAGAGCAGGCAGCCCACAGGCCAGGGAGGGCTCTGAGAAATGCTTGGTTCAGTCCCAGGCCTGGGGCAGCTGGTTTCTGTATCCTGCAGCTCCCTGCTGTTCTGGAGCCACTGGCCCTAGAGCTCTTACAGAGAACTGGCACCCTGCAGTGCCCCTGCAGTGTGGCTATTGTGGGCGAGACCTTGGGTCTCAGGCTGCAGTTGGTGTCTGTCCTGCATGCGACCAGAGCCGTGCAGCCCTCTCAGCCTGGCTGCCAGCCCTGCATGCTGCATTGCTAGCCACGTCAGTGCAGATCCTAGCCAGTGCCAAGTCATTGCTCTGTCTTATCTTCTCTTGCAGAGTGTCCCTCCCTTTATAGAATGTCAACCAAAGAGTGCCCTCCTCCCCTGTCCGTCTACTAGCTAGGCGCGCATTTCAGCACTACGCATGTTTGTGACCTGTGGTAGTCATTTCCAGTGCCACCCCAACCCTGTATTTTGCACACAGCAAACAATGTGTAGCTTTATTTATGGTATTTGATGCTGTAAATGAAAATAAATATGGTTCTTTATAAAGCGCATTGTTTCCTCTCTTCTTTGCCATGGAAGCTTCTCCAAACCTCAAACACGGGCTGGTTTAGGGGGTCAGACCTCCCTAAACTGTTGGCGGGACTTGCACTTGTGGTAAGCTGGGTCTCTCTGGGGCTATGCTGGGCACTCTGAAAAGAAATATTACCCAGGGGTAATATTTGGAAAATGATCCCCATGCTCTTGGGCCAGGCTTTGGGGTCTCTTTCTTGTAAACTCGTGGTACTTTTCTGCGCTAGATGCTCATAGCTGGGTGAGGGTCAGAGTTTATTAACAGCTGTCCTGTAGCACCCTCCACCCTGCCCCTCCAGCCTTGGGCCTGTAGGAGGGCTTTTTTTTTTTTTTTTTTTTAAGAAACTTGCAGTTACTTAAGTTCCTATTAACAAAGTTTGCTCTTGAAAGTTCTATGCCCATCTAGCTGAGTGGTGAATGAAAGGTAAGGTGGACAGGACATGGGTTTCGGGAAGGCAGTGAGCAGGACAGGTGTGCCCCCAGATGGAGAGCCATTTGTGACCCTGGGAGACCTCCTGCCCTCAGAAGCTCAGCTCACTCATGCCTTGACCCACAAACCACTCTGAGGATGGCACCACGGCAGGCTCTGGTCCAACTCCAGACTGTCTTTGCCAGAAGGATTTAGAGTTCCTCTCAGCTGGACTGCATAGTGCCAAGGAAGTCTGGTCCTCGGTCTCTCCATGGGGGCTCGCAGGAACAGCCTTGGTTAGGTGCTTCCCACGCCACCAGTGGAAACTTAAGTTCTGAACTTACACATCCCCCTGCAGCTCTGAAGAGGCATTCCTGGGGCTCTGGATTCACATGAGGGCCTGAGCTGCCTTCAGAGCTGCCGCAATAGTCTGTTCTTACCTGGACAAGATACTCTTTCCTTTCCATGAAAGGCAGGATGCTAGGGACTAAAGTGAGGAGCTGGGTTGGGCCTGTGACGCCCGCCTTTATTCATTCAGCTAGTCAGCAAGTACTTGTTGAATGTCTACCACAGCCGAGGCATGGTATCCCAGGCCATGGCAGGCCACTGGAGCTGCAGCAGTGACCACCCGGAGTCCTGGCCCTCCCCTGCGTCTTGGGATGTACGCATTTTGTGTCCTGTGTTTGCTCTGTTTATTTGTGCTTATTTATCAACTGACCTTTGAGTGTCTCCAGTGTGCTGGGAATATAGCAGGGAGTGACCTTGTAGTTTGGCTTTGATTTTTTAATGTCATGCAACATTTTCCATAATGTGGCAATAAAAGCACTAACTCCAAGACATGCTTTGTGAATGAAAGATTTCATAGTTACAAAGTTTGAGACGTGTTTTATACTAATCATGCCAGTCCTAATCTTTGGAAATCTTCAAGATTCCTTAGCAAGTTAAGATCGCTTAGGATAGTTGTCCAGTAAAGAAGATTATTTCATTTTGTCCAAGTGGGCTTTCTCATTCCTATTTTGGGAGCAATTTTTGTTTTGCATATTATATTTTCCACAAATGTAGAATATTCTTTCATCCAGAGAGACTGGACTAAAGGTTTAAGATCAGAAAAGTAAAATAAAGCTAAATACTAAATAGAATTAAATATTTATTAGACCATTGCTAATTTGTCTAAACTTTAAAATCTCTAACAGAAAAAGTTTCACAGGAAAAGCCGATACAAATCTGACTACATACATATTTTAACTTAACATAACAGAAATGAAAGTATTCGGTCAAGTATGGAGAAATAATTGTATTAGATGGAGAATCTCATTGCTGTGACATTGTAAAGCTTTGTGCAAGCAGGTGTTCCCAGGCACTCGACTTAATGTAGGTGGTCAGTTTGTATTTGTGGATCAAAGACCCAATAACGAATGGGACAAAGCTGTGTGGTTCACACTCAAGCTCTTTTGAAAAGCAAACTCTAAAATGAAAAGGCAAGCATTACCAATATGTTCTTATTTGGCTTTCAAAGGAATATAAATTAATTATGCAGTTCAGCCTGATTTGATAAAGAGAAAGAGGGAAATAGATTGTAAGGGGGGAAAATGAACTCAATCGTTAGTATTGAGTAAAAAGTACATGGGGACAATCTTTTCTGGAAAGCAATATGTCAACAATTATTAAGATCCACAAAAGAGCCCTGACCTTCTGCCCAGTAACCCTCTGCCGGGGAACCATCCTAAAGAAATAACTCAGTGAAGGAAGCACATCTCCATGCAACCTGAATACTAAGTAGAGTAACTGGGGCAGCAAGAGTGGGGAACCCATTGTCCTTTATTTCTGTACACTCTATGCACTCCTTTACTTTTGCAGCTTTTTCCTTAATTTCTTAAGTCAAAAAAGTGATTGCTTCCTTCACTGCCCCAGGACCAGCTATACCTAACTGAGCAACTTCTGGTGGTCTGTCTCTGGGCCAGGCACTGGAGGTGCCTCTTGCGGGCACTGTGGAGATGGTGCTGTCATGAAGGGAGTCTGATAAGAGGGGAGGTGGTCTGTACAGCATCTTCAGCACTACAGAACAGAGCAACATGCAGCCAGCCCAAGAGTCAGATGCCTCTTGGGAGCATGGGCATGGGAAGGCCCTCACCCGCCTTTGACTCCAGCACTTTGTGCTGACTCAGTGATCTTGGCAAATCCTGTGAACTGGGTTGCATGATGCCTCTGGCACAGGGCTTTGTGGCGGTGAAATAGGGGAGTGTGCCCGCAAGACACTCAGGATAGCAAGAGTGCTGTTGCTGAGTTCTAAGTAGAACTTGGCTGGTTTTGTGTGGCTGGAGTGACTCGAGGGAGTCTTCCTTTGGCATTCTAGATGATTGAGGGCCAGAGTGTCTGCTGACTAACTTTAGGTTGAAGACTCAACAGGGGTCTCAGTATTTATCTCAAGTTTTCTGCTTTCCCAGCTCTCTTGACAGTGACTGGCCACCTTCCTTAAAGCCTCGCGCCCTAGCTCCACAGTCTCCCTTGGCTCCTGCCATCTGCCAGCAGGACTTTGGCTTGACTTTTAACAAAGTGGAAGCCTAGTGAGCATCCAGCTGTCTCCAGCTTCCTTCTAGACATCTCCACTGGAGGTCTGCTGAATAGCTCGGCTCAAGCCTCCAACTCCTGACCATCCCCAGATACTCTGTTCTTGACTTCCCCAGTCAAAGGAAATGGCAGTTCCATTTTCTCACTCAGACCAAAGCTTTGAAGTCATGCTTGACTCTTATTTCTTGGTCCCACCTCCAGGCCCTCACTGAATTTCAAGTTCAAGCAGAATCTTCCACTTATCCCCATTTCATGCTACAGCCCAGGCCTCAGCCACTGTCATCTGCCCCTGGGTGACTGCAGTGTCCTGCTATGGGCTCCCTTTACTGCTTTTTTCCACTCAACCATGGTGCAACATAATAGCTGGAGTGACCCTTCAGAACTCAAGCCTGCTTTCTCTCTCAGAACTCTCTAGCAAATCTCCAGCTAACTCAGAGTAAAAGCCAGAAGCTCTATCTAGTCTGGCCTCTGTCACTGAACCTGCTTTCCTTCCACTCTGTCACGCTGTCCCAGACAATCTCTGCCTTAGCACCTTGGCACTGGCCATGGCCTCTGGCAGGAAAGCCTCGCAGTGTCCACATGGCCGATTCTGCCTGTGTTCAGTCTTTGCTCCCAGTCTCTCCCCCAGGGAGGTAGATCTGGACCTCTGCGACCTGTACTCCCAGCTCTTGTGAGCCCCTGGAACCCAACTGGATGGTTTTTCCCTAGCATTGGTCACCCCCAATCCTATTACATAATTATCATTAACACTTATTATTTGTGTGTTTTGTTTTTGTTTTTATGCTGTACCCTTTCTAGAACACAAGCTCCTTAAGGGCAGGGATCTTTGTTTCTTTGAACCACTACGTAAGACCAACAGGCAGCATAATGGTTAGCACATACTAGGCCCTCAATACCTGTTTATAGAATAAATAAAGGAAAGACAGGACCCTCTGGCCCCGTTCTCTCGTGGGAGAAGCTGGGAAGTGTCTTGGGCTGGGGAATGTCTTGCTGGTATCAGTTTAGGGTTCAGGCGAGAGAACTGGGAAAAGAAGAATGCCATTGTGCCCTGCTACCTTTGCAGAGCCCTTTGAGAAAATGAAAGAAAGGAGTTTTCATTTTGTTTGAACTTTTCATTCTAAGGGGTATAATTTTTACAGCATCTGTTAGCCAAACTGTGGGACTTGGGCGAAGGTAGGGGGTGTACATGGGGGAGGGGCTCTCGGCTGGTTTAGGGGGCTGCAGACAGCCGTTCCAGTGGGATCCCTGCAGTGTCAGACTCAGGTCATGGGTCACACATTCTTCTTATTCCCTGGGTCCTGTTTGACTCTAGAGGTGAGGTGGGGAACAATCAATGCTGGAGGATGGAGCTGAGGCCCCCACACCAAGGAAGGGGGTTTACTCAGTTTGTGTTTAGCTTCCTAAATCTAACCATCCTGCAAATTCCTGTAACTGAGCCCGAGAGTGACCCTGCCCCGCCCCCTGACAAGGAAGCCAGCCACAGCCCAACCTGTGGACACTTAGAAGTGCAAAGGAGATCACAAGCCAAAAGCATTCTCTTCTCCAACCCCTTTGTTCTGTGAGACAAGGCTGTGCCCAAGGGTGGGGGCACAGAGTTGGCCAGACACAGCTGTCTATGGCAAGGGAAGGGGAGAGCGCACTAAGGACCCAAGGATGAAGACCCCGACCTGCTGCCGTTGGCAGAAGAATCTGCTTTCTGCTGTCTGGTCCTGCTGAGCTGTCGGGAAGGTGCTCCATGCTGCCAGCTCTCGGGCCCTCCTGAAGGATACTCCTGTCTGTGCGAGCCTGCGCCTGGCCTTGGCAGGGTGTCTGGCTGTATCCAGCTGAGGCTCTGTGGGAGGTACCAGTTGGCTCTGTTGGGGGCTCTGAAGGAGGAGTGACTGGGCCTCCAGGTAGCCTTTTAGCTTACTTGAGTTGGCCCCTTCACGCTGGGGGCTACGAGGCTCAGCACAGTCCTTGGAGTAACCGAGCACCACTCCTGTTCAGAGCAGGGGAG